TAAAAATATATAAATGGATCGCTTTCTTAAAAGAGGTAATACATTTTCAAATAATTAGCTAGAATGCTTAGAACATTTTTGTCTAATTTTAGGTCACAGTTCTGAAGCAAGTTGCGATTGCAAAAGCAGCGACTGTGAACAAATTTTAAAAAATTTGTAAGGTTAAGAATCACCGTTTTTTTATTGCGACTATCGACCACTATCGATGGTACTATCGACCTCTGTCGCTGGTTTGGAAATTACTAGCGTCCCCAATCGATGGGGCCCACTATCGATAGTTTGGCACCTCTAGGTTGAGTCAATCACTAGTCATAGAATATAGATCCAGAATGAAGTGCGCACTGAATACGAATTTTTCCATTAATCAGCACAATTTGGAAAGTTCCACAATTGCCAAAACTTGTCATCTATCTGAGTAATCATTTCTTTTGAAGTTATAAAATTATATCTCCTATAAACCCAAATTTTAAATATATGCTATTTATACAAGTTCAATTTATGTTAAAATTTACCTCCCACCCCTATAGCAACCCCCTTACTTTTATATTTGTAAAAGGAGTATTTCTAATACTAGAGACTTTTGCTTTGGTAAATATATACATACATATCTACATATACATATATTCATAATTATTATCGCAGGGGCTTCAATAAATAAATTTGGTTTTGTGACGAACTTACATTCGGCTGGAACTAGCCCAGCTAAGAGACTTGGGATAAACCGAAGGCTCGTTACTATTTATGCTATGGGAACTTAATTGTTTAATTCTTGTCAATGGACTATCTTCATGAAACTTGCAGATTATGGTTATAGAATGAATAAGCATACATTTTCCAAAGCAAAAGTCCCTAATCCCAAGCGACTGCGCTTGAGCTGCGCTGCAGTGTTGGCAATATTATGAGAATTTTCTAGACGAAACTTTTAACGTAATCATAATGTTCAAAGTAATGTACATACCAAAGTACAAGACTCTCTTGAAAAAAAGCTCTTTGTGTTGGGTGGTCAGTCCGAGTATATATATCAAATTGGAGGTTTCTAGCATCAATCTTTATAGAATCGTAACATTAGATAAAATGCAAAATTTCTGCGTTGTACCTGTAAAACTCAAGGAGATACAGTTTTATTCGATTTGTCACGTCCTCAGTGGGCGTACACATGTATGTATATCCGTCATAGGTCATGATCTTTGGTGGTCGACACGGATTTACATTGCGAATTTCAGCGTTCTATCTCTCCAACTAATATGACTTCTTGCATATCGGAAAATGCATGCATGCCACGCCCCTAGTGCGGATGGGGAAAATTTTGACACTATAAATGACACACACATTCACTTTCGTGAATGAGTATAAAATCAAAGGATACAACCTTTCCATTATCTTATTTAACTAAAAAAAAAAGACTTCTTTTGGCCGATTTGTGGAAATTAACCGCAAATTCAATAATTGTTTTATTTAAATATGCCAGTAAAAGATAATTAATAAAAATAATTAAAAACAATAATAGTCGATTCATCAAGTTTTTTAATAATGAGATTTACATAAACTGTCTGGTATACCCCCAAATTAGAAATATCAATATATAACCACAACTTATTACAGAAATTATTAATGGCCAAGTGTCCGGAAACCTAGAGGGTGGTTCTATTAATAAAAACGCTAGCGAAGTGGCAATCATTAAAATTTCCGAGACTTGTCCGATTTTCATTTTTAAATAACTTTTAGATATCGTAATGTCATCAGTTTTAAATGCCCAACTTTTAAAAACGAAACGAAAAATTATCATTAGAGCCGCTGTTGGAACTAACAAATTATCTTTTCTTAAGAGTGGAATCATACTGAAAACAGAAACTTTAAGAAAAAATAGCATTTCCGTTGGCCACCAGTATATTAAACAAAACGAGGGCAGGGCTACAAGCAAAACTGACTTTTCATGAACCTAAAAAGAGGTTAATTTTTAATATACTTGGTATATATAATATAGTTCATACATACTTGAAATGAAAACAAGAAAAATACACAAGCCGTGTTGAATAAAGTTAATAAGAATGTGTATTTACTTCGCTGGAAAAAAAGATGCACATTAATAGGTACGGCTGTTAATAATGTGGTTCCAAAACAAATGAATGCCATTTTGTGATTGCTAATGGATTTTCTAAAAAAAAATTAATATTTTATAATATATATCTGCAATTACCGAACAAATAAATATATATTTTACCTTAATTTATAAAAGATATTAAGGGTGCACCAAACATTGCCGACTTTGTCTTCAAATACCCCACGTCCAAGAGGAAAGAGACGGTGAAATACTCTTAAAGTTGAGTCAATTGAACTTAGCCAAGGATACCATAAAATCACAAATGTTAATAGCACAATGGTAGCTATTATAGTAAGCTCTTTCACGGCCGTCTTTACACTAAAAAATAATACAAATAATACTAGTTTTGATACATTAGATTGAGACTTATTCACTATTAATATATATATATATATATATACATATATATATATACATATATATATATATATATCGAGTGTGGGTGCGCTTAACTGGCGCCCGAGCAGGGACCCAAATTCTTCACGAAAAAAAGGAAAATGGTGACGTGTCAATAACAAAATATAAAAATAACTTATAAAAAAGCAAGTACAAATAAATTGTTTCAAATCTAAAAGCTGGATTGGACAATTGTTGGCAAAATTAAGAAGTACTTCTGTGATTTGCAAAGTAATGGGGTGAAACACCTTGCCATAACATTATAATA